TTTGTCTCTACCATCAAAGCAAAGATGCTCTCCCCAAGGCCAAATATGGAATGCCGTCAAAGCATAGGCAATTAAAATAAAAGATAAAATTGAGATACAAATAGAATTGATGGCTAGTTAAAAGCATTCAACCTTAAAAGAACGTGTTTTAAAAGGAAGGAGAGGTTGGAGAGGGAAGAGGATTCACCCAAGGAAGAGGGGCATGCAAAAATATCGGCTGGTCATGTGAATAAAAGACGTCATAGGAGATATTATTTCTTTATTAGATTGTTATCTTGCCTTTATAAGTCACTCAAAGTGGATAACACACCTAATGCAGGTACTCCTCGACTTACGACCACAATTGAGCCTCAATTTTTTTTGTTGCTAAGGGAGACATTTGTTGAGTTTTGCCCCCTTTTATGACCTTTCTTGCCACAGCTGCTAAGTGAAACACTGCAGTTGTTAAATTAGGAACAAGGTCGTTAAGTGAATCACTGCCTTCCGCATCGACTTTGCTTGTCAGAAGGTCGCAAAAAGGGATTTGGCTGCGATTCATTTATCAGCCAGCTTGCTTAGCAACAGTAATTCTGGTCCCAATTGTGTCCGTTAAGTCGAGAAATTGGTGCCTTGGTGGCGCAGCAGACTAAAGTGCTGTTAAGTAGCACCAGCTGCCTGCAATTACTGCAAGTTCAAATCTCACCAGGCTCAAGGTTGACTCAGCCTTCCATCCTTTCGAGGTAGGTAAAATGAGGACCTGGATTGTGGGGGCAATAAGCTGATTTTGTATATATAAAAAAAAAGAACACCGCTTTGGGGGGGGGGCAAAAAAGCCCTACTAAGCAGGTATATACAAAAGTATGAAGGCTATTGCTTAACGCATTGTAAGCTGCCCTGAGTCTCCGGAGAAGGGTGGCATATAAATCGAACCAATAAACAATAAATATCTGTATTTTCTTGGTACATAAAGGAATCGGGGCCTTTTGAGAATCAACCCCATCCTCTGGTGATTACAATGGACTGAAATGGCTACTGAATAAACATACAAATACCTGGAAATTTACTCCTTTATTCTATTTCCAGCCAAGGCTCCACATCTAAAAATGCAACTAGAGCAAAAAATCCTGCCGAAACTCCTGCCATTATGCTGATTTCAGCGTATGCTGAGGAAGTGCTAATTGATTTATACAATGGGGTGTTGGTCGCCTCACCTTCCTTTCCTGCTAAATTGCTGGAGGGTCTGAAGGGCAGAAAGGAAGTGCCCCTCCCTTGGCATTTATTTGCAGGGGGCAATGGGCTTTCTCTGCCCAAACGTTGCCTTGGTGGACAGCTGTGGATTGGATTTCTCTCCTGTTACTTCAGAGTAACTTCGAACTGCAGAAAAAACAATGGCTACCAACCTGCCTTCCATGGAGGACCTGTATAATGCATGAGTCAAAAAGAGGGCTGTGAAAATATCTACAGACCCCTCACATCCTGGACATAAACTGTTTCAACTCCTACCCTCAAAACGACGCTATGGAGCACTGCACACCAGAACAACCAGTACAGTGTTATTTTTCTACACAGGTTAGATTGATTCTTCTTTTACTTTTCATCATAATATAACGTAATTTACATATGCATCTTAAGATTTATATTAACTTTTATCTTTTCTTTATTCTATTATCAATCCACCTGTACTAATCATCCCACACAGTATAATATTCTTATTCTATTCTAATTTTATTCCATTCCATTTTTATTTATACCCTATCACTATCATTAAGTGTTGTACCTTATGATTCCTGATGAACGTATCTTGTCTTTTTATGTACACTGAGAGCATATGCACCGAAGACAAATTCCTTGTGTGTCTAATCACACTTGGCCAATAAAATTCTATTCTGATGTTCTGTTCTGTTCTGTTCTTTCTGTTTTGTTCTGTTCTGTTCTACTCCATTCCATTCCATTCCCTTCTATTCCATTCCATATTTTCTATTCTATTCTATTCTATTCTATTCTATTCTATTCTATTCTATTCTATTCTATTCTATTCTATTCTATTCTATTCTAATTCTATTCTATTCCATTCCATTCCATTCCATATTATCTTTTCTATTCTTTCCTTTCCTTTCCTTTCCTTTCCTTTCCTTTTCTTTCTATTCTATTCTATTCTATTCTATTCTATTCTATTCTATTCTATTCTATTCTATTCTATTCTATTCTATTCTATTCTATTCTAATTCTATTCTTATTTATACCCTATGACTATCATTAAGTGTTGTACCTTATGATTCCTGATGAACGTATCTTGTCTTTTTATGTACACTGAGAGCGTATGCACCAAAGACAAATTCCTTGTGTGTCCAATCACACTTGGCCAATAAAGAATTCTATCTATCTATCTATCTATCTAATGCCAGGCCAACAAAAATAAATGGTACAATACATAAATACATATGTAGAAGATTTAATAGGAATATTAGGTGTTTTTTCTAATACACACACACATACAAACACACATTCATATCCATATCTCTATGAGGGTGGAAGTTCGTTCCCCGAGCTTGTGGGTTGCTTTCCAAATGTTTCATTATCAGGTTAGATAACATCTCTCTCTCTATTTCTACCGACCGACCGACTTGTAATACCTGATTTTCAACAGTTTGTTTAGTGGCTGTTGGAAGTTACACCAGCACTGGAAAAAGTGACTTATGACCGTTTTTCACACTTACGACCATTGCAGCATCCCCAGGGGGTCACGTGATCCAAATTCAGAAATTTGGCAACAGACTCATATTTATGACAGTTGCAGTGTCCCAGGGTCACGTGATCCTCTTTTTGCGATCTTCTGACAAGCAAAATCAACAGGGAATCCAGATTCCCTTAATGACCGTGTCACTAATTGAACATCTGCAGTGATTCACTTAACGACTGTGGCAAGAAAGGTCATAAATGGGGCAAAGCCCATTTAACAAAGTGAGTAATAGAAATGTGGGGCTCAATTGTTGGGTCGTAAGTTGAGGAAACTGCCCCCCTAAACACACACACACGCACACACATACACGTACAAGTATTTATGTACGTAATAAAATACACAAAATTAATAAAACAGGAAATCAATAAAAGGTAAAAAGAATAATCATGATAAGAAAATAAAAAAGTTTGCGTAGTGGACGTGGCAGTACCAGGAGGCAGCAGAAAACAAAAGGAGGAACTGGAGAAAATCACAAAGTATATATAAAATATAAGGTTGTGTGTATGTGCATGATAATATGTGCATGTGTATTTTGTGTGTGTATATATATATATATAATTACATTACACATAGAGTTCAAGACTTACGACCACAACGGAGTCCAAAATTTCTGCTGTTAAGTGAGACATTTGTGAAGTGAGTTTTGCCCATTTTACGAACCTTCTTGCCACCATTGTTAAATGAATCACTACAGTTGTTAAGTGAGTGACACGGTCGTTAAATGAATCTGGCTTCCCCAATGACTTCGCTGGTCAGAAGGTTGCGAAAGGGGATTGGGTGACCCTGGGACACCGTCATAAATATGAGTCGGTTGCTAAGTGTCCAAATTGTGAAGTGTGAAAAACAGTCCTAAGTAAGTCACTTTTTTCAGTGCCCCTTGTAACGTCCAACAGTCACTAAACGAACTGTTGTAAGTTGAAGACTGGGTGTGTTACTACATGTTGTGAGTTGAGGATGTGTGTGTTAGGTGTTGTAAATTGATGACTACCTGTGTTACTATGTGTTGTAAATTGAGAACATGTTATGTGTTGTAAGTTGATGGCTACATTACTAAGTGTTGCAAGTTGAGGAAGTTTGTGTTACTACATGTTGTTGAGGACTACGTGTGTTACATGTTGCAAGTTGAGGAAGTTTGTGTTACTACATGTTGTTGAGGACTACGTGTTACGTGTTGTAAATTGAGGACTATGTGTATCTTACTACGTGTTGTAAGTTGAGGACGTGTTATGTGTTGTAAGTTGATGGCTACATTACTACGTGTTGTAAGTTGAGGACATGTGTTACTACATGTTGTTGAGGACTACGTGTGTTACATGTTGCAAGTTGAGGACTATGTGTATGTTACGTGTTGTAAGTTGATGGCTACGTTACGTGTTGTAAGTTGAGGATGTGTTATGTGTTGAAAGTTGACGGCTACGTTACTAAGTGTTGTAAGTTGAGGACGTTTGTGTTACTACATGTTGTAAATTGAGGACTACATGTGTTACGTGTTGCAAGTTGAGGACTATGTGTATCTTACTACGTGTTGTAAGTTGAGGACGTGTTATGTGTTGAAGTTGATGGCTACATTACTAGGTGTTGTAAATTGAGGACTACAAGTGTTACATGTTGCAAGTTGAGGACTATGTGTATGTTACGTGTTGTAAGTTGATGGCTACGTTACGTGTTGTAAGTTGAGGATGTGTTATGTGTTGTAAGTTGATGGCTATGTTACTAAGTATTGTAAATTGAGGACGTTTGTGTTACTACATGTTGTAAATTGAGGACTACGTGTGTTACGTGTTGCAAGTTGAGGACTATGTGTATGTTACTACGTGTTGTAAGTTGAGGACTACATGTGTACACACGTGTACACACACAATTATTTATTTCTTTACAAATAACTCAAGGCAACCAATATATCGGCCACGCCTTCCTCCTATTTTCACCACAACCCTGTGAGGTGGGAAAGAACTGGAGCATTCCCCTCGGATAATAACAGGCGAGACGCTCGCCCGGTTGAATTTCTGCCTGCCTGCCTTGTCTTGGCCGGAGCTAAAGGAGGGGGCCAAACAACTCCCTCATTGCCCGCCTCTTGGTGGCGCCGCCTCTTCTGATTGGCTGCCTCAGCCCCGTCAGAGGCGAAGAGGGGCGGGGCCTCCGCACGGCCACGCCCCCTCCCCTTTCCCTCACAGCAGCATCAACTTTTACCTCAGAGGAGGAGGAGGAGAAGGCCTCGCGTCCCCCGAGATCGCCCACCGGCGGCCGGCCTCGCTCGGGCCCGACGGGCTTTCCTACGTACCTCGCTCCGCGTTGTCATGCAGCCGTGGCGGCCTCGGCTGGGTCATGGTCTCCGGCCACCGCAGAGGCTCATCCCGGCGGCCTGCCGGACTCCGTGTCTTCCTTTTCCCCCTGTCCACGCACACGGTTCCGCCTTCCGCCTACGTAAACGCCACCTCCACCAATCGCCTGCGGGATGCGTCCGCGGAGGCGTCAACAGCCGGGCGTACCTTCCCGAGGCGCATGCGCCAGCCCGCCCATCTCCTGTGATTGATAAAAGTCGGGTGGAGAGGAGGACTCCCCTAGAGAGATAGAAAATAGTAGAGTGATGCGCAGTGCAAGCTTCAGGGATGAAAAGAGCAAAAAAATCCCATAGAGATAGAAATATATTAGTCTCGACTCTGCTTGTTTGGATCAGGTCGTCCTCGACTTACGACCACAATTGAGCCCATAATTTATGTTGCTAAGTGAGTAATTTGCTAAGTGAGTTTTGCCCCATTTTACGACTTTTCTTGCCACATTTGCTAAGTAAATCACTGCAGTTGTTAAAATTAGTAGTAACCCGGTTGTTAAGTGAACCTGGCTTCTCCGTGGAGTTTGCTTATCAGAAGGTTGCAAAAGTGGATCGCATGACCCCGGGACACTGCGACCGTCGTAAGTATGAGTCAGTTGCCGAATGTGTGAATTTTGATCATGTGACCATGGGGATGCTACAACGGTCGTTAAGTGTGAAAAACGATCCTAAGTCACTTTTTTCAGTGCCGTTGTAACTTCAAACGGTCACTAAATGAACTGTTATAAGTCGAGGACTACCTGCAGTTGTCCATTTATAATCATTCGTTTTAGTGACCGTTCGAAGTTACTGAAAAAAGTGACTTATGACTGTTTTTCACACTTACGACCGTTGCCACGTCCCCATGGTCACCTGACCAAAAATTCAGACACATAACATACAACAAATGCTTTGCAACTGGTTCATATTTATGACGGATCCCCTTTTGCGACCATCTGACAAGCAAAGTCCCCGGGGAAGCTCGATTCACTTAACAACCCCTGTTACTCGCTTAAGAACTGCAGTGATTCACTTAACAACTCTGGCAAGAAAGAAAGGTCGTAAAATGAGGCAAAATTCACATAATACCTGTCTCGCTTATCTAAAACCACAAAATTGTGGTCGTAAGTCGAGGAGTACCTGTACTAGAAATGGGGACAATGCAGAAGGAGATTTATATGCTCAAGATTTATAATAAATATTATATAAAAATATAATAAATATAATAATAAATAAATAAATAAATAAATAAATAAATAAATAAGATTTATACACTCAAGATAGCTTACAATGGGAACAGCCCTTCCAGATGTAAATTGGTAAATGAATGAATCTGCAAAACAGGAAGATTGAAAAAAAAACATCTGTTATATAATTATTTGTATTTCACTTTTCAGGAAGAAAATCCACCTCAAGCAGCTTTCCAGCCATAAGTCCAAATAAGAATAAACACTATTTCGAAACACAAAATTACAGTTTGTAAGCTGCCTGGAGTCACGTATGTGCAAGCTGGGTGTTTAGATAAATTTGTTTATTAAAGAAATAAATAAAAATATTCCAAGATCCTTCTTTGATGGGAGAGAGGGAAAGAAGGGAAGGGATGCCAAGGGCTAGAGGGTGTGTGCAATGCCTTCATATCCAAGAGGAAAGCGAGGAGGTTGAATAAACTATGAGCCATAAACCACGGCCAGATTCTTAGCCAAGTCTAACCTTTGCAGGAGAGGATGTGAAATGGGAAGGTCGATTAATATCTTTTTATTTATGCTTAAGTAAAAGATAGGCCCCATGCAGCTAACAAGGATAGAACAACCTGAGATAGGGAAGAAATCACTTTATATACATAAATACATATTTTGGGTTTGGAATGTGTCTCTCAGTTGGCCAGCTTCATCTGTGTCGAGGGGTCTTGGGTGCTCTCTGAGTTTGGTATTCTTGCAGATGTTTCATGAGCCAACTAGGTTACATCATCAGTGCGAGAAGGGAGTTGGGGTTTTGGGGAGGAAGAAGAGGAGGAGGAGGAGAGGGACAAGAGGGACTGTGGGGTTCTTGACGCTCTCTGAGGTTGTTCATATTTTTGCAGATGTCTCATGAGCCAACTAGGTTACATCATCAGTACGAGAAGAGAGTGGGGGTTATGGGGAGGAGGGGGAGAGAAGGAGAGGGAGGGAGGGAGGAGAGGAACTTGTAGGGTTCTTGATGCTCTCTGAGTTTGGTCATATTCTTGTAGATGTTTCATGAGCCAACTAGGTTACATCATCAGAGATAGTGGGGAGTGGGGTTTGCTCTGAATTATGTATTATTATTATTTAATCTTTAGTGAGATTCACAGTCTTTGAGGCTGGTTAATAGCTCAGCAGCTCGAGTCCTAACCAAGGACCTAGGAACTGTTAAGGTATCGTCGGAGGATGTAAGCTGTTCCGAGTAAGGTGGTTTTTTGTAGAGTCAAAATGTTCAAGTCCGGCAATTTTAGAATTTCTAAATAGCGGGGTAGCCCTTTGGGCATTGCTCCAAGGGCTCCAATTACAATCGGGACAACACACAATTTCTTTTTCCCACAGTCGCTCAACTTCAATTTGCAAGTCCCGGTACTTTGTGATTTTTTCTTGCTGCTTATCTTCAATCCGTGCATCACCAGGTTTTGCAATGTCAATGAACCACACTTTTTTCTTTTCAACTATTGTTATGTCAGGTGTGTTGTGGACCAAGTGCCTGTCAGTCTGAATCCTAAAGTCCCACAAGATCTTGAGTTTCTCATTCTCTAAAACTTTCTCAACCTGATGTTCCCAGTGGTTTTTGCTGTACTCAAATCCAAACTTCTGGCACAATTTCCAGTTAATTTATGATTATTTTCCGGTACTTTGTGTTGTTGTTGTTGTTGTTGTTGTTGTTGTTGTTGTTGTTGTTGATGATAATAATAATAATAATAATAATAATAATAATAATAATAATAATAATAATAATAATTCAATTTATATGCCGCCTTTCTCCGGAGACTCAGGGCGGCTTACAGTGCATTTAAAAAAACCATCATAAAAACATTTAAACATTAAAACATTAAAACCCATCCACACCATTCATGGCTGGATCTCACAAGATCGCAACAGCGAGATCAACGGCCCCAGGCCTGACGGAAGTGCCAGGTCTTTACCGCTTTTCGGAAGGCCAATAGGGTGGGGATGGTCCGGACCTCAGGAGGTAACTGGTTCCAGAGAGCCAGTTTTTCTAATATATAATATAATATATTTTCTAATGGTTTGGCCTTTCAGTTATAGGGTCATAAAACATCTGCAAGAAAAGAACCAATCTCAGAGACCATCAAGGACCTCACAGTCCTCCTCCTCCCCCTCCCTTTCGTCTCCTGCCTTCCTCCTCCTCCTCAGACTCCGCTCCCTTCTAGTACTGATGATGTTCCCTAGTTGGGTCATGAAACGTTTGCAAGAAAGCAAGCAGGCTCAGAGAGCACCAAGGATCCCTCAATTCAACCTTGAGCTATAAATATTCTCCTTTATTGATCTCTGCTGTCTATTTTTGGAATTTTTGCTGTCTTATTTTTGGAGCAGTTTTATTCCCTGAAGATTTGGAAGGCGGCATCTTGCGAAGGACTAAACTGTGCACCCACAGAGGAGAGAGAAGCATCCTTGGTGCGGTGTCCGAAAAAGGAGAATATTTATAGCTTAGGGTTGAACTATTGGGTCCTTGGTGTTCTCTGAGCTTTGTTGTTTCCTTGCAGAGTTTCATTGCTCAACTAGGTAATATCATCCATGTTAGAAGGAAGGGGGGGGGGTCGTGGAGGAGAAGGAGAAGGGGGGAAGAGGAGGATGAAGAGGAGGAGGAGAAGGCGGAAGAGGAGGAGGAGGATTGTGGCTTCCTCTGGGCTCGCTGAGCTTGATTGTTTTCTTGCAAACATTTCATGACCTGATTAAGTCATAGGGAGTGGCGTTTGCAGAGAGGAGGAGGAGGAGGAGGAGGAGGACTGTTGGGTCCTTGGTGCTCACTGAGCTTGTAGCACGGATGATGTTATCTAGTGTAGTAGTGAAATGTCTGCAAGAAAATAATCAAGCTCAGAGAACATCTCCTTTTCCTCCCTGCAAACCCCACTCTAACCTTTTTTAAAAATTTTGATTTATATGCCGCCCTTCTCCGGAGACTCAGGGCGTCTTACAATGTGCTAAGCAATAGCCTTCATCCTTTTGTATATTTTTATACAAAGTCAGCTTATTGCCCCCACAAACTGGGTCCTCATTTCACCTACCTTAGAAAGGATGGAAGGCTGAGTCAACCTTGAGCCTGGTGAGATTCGAACTTACAGTAATTGCAGACAGCTGGTGTTAATCACAATGCTATCAGTCTGCTGAGCCACCAGGCCCTCCCTCTTTCCCTCCCTCCCTCCCTTTTTTTTTCTTTCTCTTTCTTTCCCTCCCTCCCTCCCTCCCTCCCTTCTTTCTTTCCTTCTTTCTTTTTCCTCCCTCCCTCCCTTCTTTTTCTTTCTTTCTTTCTTTCTTTCTCTCTCTCTTTCTTTTTTTTTTAAAATTTGATTTATATGCCGCCCTTCTCCGGAGACTCGGGGCGGCTTACAATGTGCTAAGCAATAGCCTTCATCCTTTTGTATATTTATACAAAGTCAGCTTATTGCCCCCACAAACCGGGTCCTCAATTTACCTACCTTAGAAAGGATAGAAGGCTGAGTCAACCTTGAGCCTGGTGAGATTCGAACTTACAGTAATTGCAGGCAGCTGGTGTTAATCACAATGCTATCAGTCTGCTGAGCCACCAGGCCCTCCCTCTTTCTCTCCCTCCCTCCCTTCCTTTCTTTCCTTCTTTCTTTTTCCTCCCTCCCTCCCTTCTTTTTTCTTTTTCTTTTCCTTTCTTTCCCTCCCTCCCTTTCTTTCCCTCCTTCCTTCCCTCCCTTCTTTCTCTTTCCTTCTTTCTTTTTCCTCCCTCGCTCCCTTCTTTTTCTTTCTTTCTTTTTTTTTAAATTTGATTTATATGCCGCCCTTCTCCGGAGACTCAGGGTGGCTTACAATGCGTTAAGCAATAGCCTTCATACTTTTGTATATTTATACAAAGTCAGCTTATTGCCCCCACAAACTGGGTCCTCAATTTACCTACCTTAGAAAGGATGGAAGGCTAAGTCAACCATGTTCATTGATGACGTTACCTAGTTGGGTCATGAAACGTCTGTAAGAAAACAACCAAGCTCAGAGAACACCAAGGACCTCAGAGTTCTCCTCCTCAAACCACACTCCCTTTTAGCACTGATGACGTTACCTAGTTGGGTCATGAAATGTCTGCAAGAAAACAACAAAGCTCAGAGAGAACCAAAAACCCCACAATCATCCTCCTCCCCCTCCCCCTCCCCAAACTTCTCCCCATTCTCCTCCACTCTGCAATCCACACTCCTTTCTAGCACTGATGATGTTATCTAGTTGGGTCATGAAATGTCTGCAAGAAAACCAAGGTCAGTGAGCACCAAGGACCCCGCAGTCCTTGTCCCACTTCGCTTCCCTCAACACTGTCAAACTAGTTACTAAGTCTGCATTACTATTAAACTTCTCATTGTTCCTATCACCCATCTCCTCCCACTTACAACCATATGACTGTAACTTTGTTGCTGGTATCCTTAAGATTTATATTGATATTGTTTCCTAATGTGATTTGATTGCTTATTTGTCCCCTACGACTATCATTAAGTGTTGTACCTTATGATTCTTGACGAACGTATCTTGTCTTTTATGTACACTGAGAGCTTATGCACCAAGACAAATTCTTTGTGTGTCCAATCACACTTGGCCAATAAATAATTCTATTCTATTCTATTCTATTCTATTCTATTCTATTCTTATTTGTACCCTATGACTATCATTAAGTGTTGTACCTTATGATTCTTGACGAACGTATCTTCTCTTTTTATGTACATTGAGAGCGTATGCACCAAAGACAACCAATCACACTTGGCCAATAAAAAAATTCTATTCTTCCCTTCCACCTTCTCTCTGCAAACCCCCCTCACTTCTAGCACTGGTGATGTTCCCTAGAAGGGTCATGAAACGCCTGCAAGAACTCTCCCCACCTCACAGAGCACCAGGGACCCCTCAGATACTAGAGATTAAGGCGGTCAACGGTCTAAATGTACTAACAACGCATCTACCTCTCCGATCCCAGCCCCACCACCCCATCTCAAATCCCCAAGCCGGAACCTCCACGCACGGCTTTGGTTTCGATTCGGAGGAGGCCGAGTGTGACACCCCCCCTCCCCCGTGGAAGTAAGCCGAGAGCCGGAAGTGGCCTTCAAAGGCGGGCGGAAGCGGCGAGAGGCGCTTTTGCGGGGCGGCGAGGCGCGGCCGGAGCGCTTTGGCGGTTGCACCGGGCAAGATGGCGGACCGCGAAGAAGCGTTGAGGGAGTTCGTGGCCGTGACCGGAGCCGAGGAGGAGCGGGCGCGCTTTTTCCTGGAGTCGGCGGGCGGGGACCTGCAGGCAAGGCCGGCGGGAAAGGGGAAAAGAGCTCCCGGAGTCTCCGTAGCTTCCCTGGGGAAAGGGGGGAGGCCGGGATCCCGCCGTTCTCTCCCCCTCCCCGGGCTCGGAAAGGGGTGGGGGGGCCCTTCCCCCTGAGGGGGGGGCTTTTCTACCCAGCTGCCCCCCCCTTTGTTCACCCCCAGCACCCCTCTTTGTCAAGGGGGGCCTGGAAAGGGGTCTTCCCCGGGTCTCTCCCTCTCCCCTCCCCATGGACAAAGCCCCCCTTATTCTGCATTGAAATGGGGTGGGGGGCTTCAATGGAAGGCCCCTCTTTTCCACCCCACTCCCCTCCCTGTCAAGGGGGGACTGGAAGGGGGTCTTCCCCTGGCTAGTCCCTCCCCCTCCCCTCTTGAACAAAGCCCCCAACCCTGATTCTTCATTGAAATGGGGTGGGGGGGCTTCACAGGAAGGCCCCCCTTTTCCACCCCAGTCCCCTCCCTGTCAAGGGGGGCTGGAAGGGGGGTCTTCCCCTGCCTAGTCCCTTCCTTCCCTCTTGGAAAAAGCCCCCCCTTATCCTGTATTGGAAAGGGGCTCGGAAAGGGGTGGGGGACCGTTCTCCCTGAGGGGGGGGCTTTTCTACCCAGCTGCCTCCCCTTTTCCATCCCACTCCCCTCCCTGTCAAGGGGGGGCTGGAAGGGGGTCTTCCCGTGGCTAGTCCCCCCTCCCCTCTTGGACAAAGCCATCCCCCCCTTATTCTGCATTGAAATGGGGTGGGGGGGGCTTCAATGGAAGGCCACCCTTTTCCACCCCACTCCCCTATCAAGGGGGGCCTGGAAGGGGGTCTTCCCCGGGTCTCTCCCTCTCCCCTCCCCATGGACAAAGCCCCCCTTATTCTGCATTGAAATGGGGTGGGGGGCTTCACTGGAAGGCCCCCCTTTTCCACCCCACTCCCCTCCCTGTCAAGGGGGGGGGGCTGGAAGGGTGGGGTCTTCCCCTGGCTAGTCCCCCCTTCCCTCTTGGACAAAGCCCCCCACCCTTATTCTGCATTGAAATGGGGTGGGGGGCTTCACTGGAAGACCCCCCTTTTCTACCCCACTCCCCTCCCTTTCAAAGGGGGGCTGGAAGGGTGGGGTCTTCCCCTGGCTAGTCCCCCCCTTCCCTCTTGGACAAAGCCCCCCACCCTTATTCTGCATTGAAATGGGGTGGGGGCTTCACTGGAAACCCCCCTTTTCCACCCAACTCCCCTCCCTGACAAGTGGGGCCTGGAAGAAGATCTTCCCCTGCCTAGTCCCCCCCTTCCCTCGTGGACAAAGCCCCCCACCCTTATTCTGCATTGAGGGGAGGGGGCCTTCACTGGGAAGGGGCCCTCCCCTCTATTCTGGCAGGGGGAGGCGATGGGATGGGTAAGATTACTGAACGGGGGAGGTAGGAGGAAGTGGAAGAGTTTCCTCTCTGCCCTGTCTGTGTACAACTGTGGATGATGGGGTATGTAGTACAGATTAGGTGACTGGGAGGGGGCATTCTTCTCCCTCCCTCCCTCCATTCCTCCCAAGTCAGCCTCCTTTGGTAACTTCATTGGCTAAGGAGCTGCCCAGGGTCTCCCCAAGACTCTGCAAGATGGGGGGCGGTGGGGGGGGTTACAGGCAGTCCTCGTGTTACGACCTACAATTGAGCCCCAAATGTCTGTTGCTAAACGGGACAGCTGTTCAATGTGTTTTTGCCCCGTTTCACGACCTTGTTAGCCACCATCGTTAAGTGAGTCACTGTGGTTATTAAACTGGTAACACGGTTGTTAAATGAGAATCCAGTTTCCCCATTGACTTGGTTGAAGGTCTGAAGGTCGCAAAAGAAGATCATATGGCCCCCGGGACACAGCAACGGTCATAAGTATGAGTCAGTTGCCGGGCATCCAAATTTTCATTACATGACCAGGGGGATGCTGCAACGATGAAAAACGGTCATAAGTTAGTTTTTTCCACTGCTGTTGTAACTTTGAATGGTCACTAAACGGTTGTGAGTTGAGTACCACCTGTATATAAATTGAACAATAAATACATTTAATAATAAATAAAGGGTTCAGGGAGGTGAGGAAAGGCCACACATGCTTGTGCTCTACTGTTTTGTTAGCCTGTTTTCCCAAAAATAAGACATCCTCTGATAATAAGCCCAATTGGGCTTTTGAGCGCATGCGCTAAAATAAGCCTCCCCCCCGAAAATAAGCCTCCCCCTGAAAATATTTAAACGCAGAGCTGGAAATCAGGTAAAACGGCAAGAGGATCCCCATATTGCTCCATGCACCCCAAAATAATATCTCCCCGAAAATAAGGCCAAGCGCTTATTTCGGGGTTCAAAAAAATATAAGACAGGGTCTTATTTTCGGGGAAACATGGTATGATGTGGGTCGTCTTGATTCTAATAGTAGAGGTAGTCCTCAGCTTACGACCACAACCGAGGCCCAAATTTCTGTTGCTAAGTGAGACAATTAAGTGACTTTTGTCTTATTTTACAACCTTGCTTGCCACAGTTGTTGTGAATCGCAGCAGTTGTTAAATGAGTAACACTGTCGTTAAGTGAATCCGGCTTCCCCATTGCTTGTCAAAAGGTTGCAAAAGGGGATCTCGTGACCCCAGGATATCGTCATATACATATGTCAGTTGCCAAGGGTCTGAATTGTGATTAGGTGATCATGGGGATGTTGCAGTAGTTACATGAAAAATGGTCATAAGTCACTTTTTTCCAGGGCCGTTGCTACTGTATAGTCACTAAACGAACTATCGTAAGTCGAGGACTACCTGTACAGGTTCGGTTCCAAAAATTATTTCAATTTTCTCCGCCCAAAAAGAGCAGATAGCCACCTCATTAGAAAGGGATGGCAAGTGGCACATCCCTGAGAAACAAGCAGGGTGGATAAAAATCAATGATTTTTAAAAAAAAAAAATCAAAAAAATCAGATTTTTTTGATTTAAATCGGATTTTTTTGATTTTTATCGAATTTATTTTAATAAAAAACTTTTGGGGTAAAAATCTATCGTAAGATAGTTTTCTATTTAAGATACATAAATAATTTAGTTGATTCAGCATGAAATGGAGCTGAGTTATGTAGCAGGAGGCTGTATATTCTGCAACACGGGGACTATCGGTGAGTCAACGGTGGGTCAAAGGAGGAGCAGAGATGACAGTTGCCCTTTATAAATTATGATTTAAATCAAACTGATTTAAATCAAGCCTTTTTACTAGTGATTTAAATCATGACTTAAATTGTGATTTAAATCAACTCGATTTAAATCAAATCCACCCTGGAAACAAGCAAGTCATCCTGGCAGGTTTGGCATTGGGAATAATTTGAGATGGAGAGGGAATCTGGCATCGGTGGATTCCCTCCAGATGCAACCCTTTGGATCCTCATGGCATCATCTGCAACGAGTTGTAATTTGGCAACAGGCCTTTCAGGAAGGACTGGTTTGATTTCTCTTCGCCCTCCTGCCAGGGAGGTGAAAATTGTTCCAATTACGTCCGTGCCCACGGTGAGGGAGTTTAGCCGGTGGCACGCCACGAAAATCCTCTGGAAAAAATGGGACGATTGGTTGTGAATGTCCAATGCAGGTCGTCCTCGACTTACAACAGCTCATTTAGTGACCGTTCAAAGTTACAACAGCACTGCGAAAAGTGAACTTAGGACCGTTTTTCGCGGTTACGACCTTCACAGCACCCCGTAATCATGTGATCAAAATTCAGACGATTGGCAATGGGTTCGTATTTATGACCGTTGCTTGCGTCCCAAGGTCATGTGATCAACTTCTGACAAGCAAAGTCCAGTGGGGGAAGCCAGATTCACTTAACAACCGGGTTACTAATTTAAGAACTGGAGTGATTCACTTAACAACCGTGGCAAGAAAGGTCGTAAAATGGGGGGGGCAAAACTCAGTGAACAGATGTCTCACTTTAAGCACAGCGATTTGGGGCTCAGTTGTGGTCGTGAGTCGAGGACTACCTGTATTTGTACCAAGGTGATAGCTTGGAATATAATAAGTAAAATGATAAGAGTTTGCGATTTTCTTTTTTTTTAATGTATGTGTATTTGATGTTCCTTCCAGCAAACCTCTACGATTTGAGGCCTATCAGTGACTTATCCCTGACAGAGGCTCTGGTTCCTTTGCAGCGTTGGAAAAAGTGTCTTATGACCGTTTTTCACACTTATGACCATTGCAAGTCCTCACGATCAGTAGATCAGTACTCAAACCCTTGGCAATCGGTTCATATTTATGAGGGAAATCCCTATTTCGGGCCTTCTGACAAGGAAAATCGTTATTTTCCATCTCTTTTCCCCTTTTCTTATTTTCCCACTGTTAAACCCAGTGTAATCATTTTGTATTTCAAAGTCCTGGACTTTTCTATTTTGCCCTGTATTTCCTGTTGTTTTCCCTTCTTTTTCTCTCTCTCTTGTCTTTCCACTGTTAATCCCAGTGTAATCATTTAAGTTTTTAATATTCTTTTTATTCCACCCTTCTTTCCTCCTTTGTCTCTTTCCACCCTTTCTGTTTTTTTTCATTGTTAATCCCAATGTTATCTCTAAAAGCTTCCTTTTTATTGTTACTATCCACATAATCATTTAATTTTCAATAATCAATCTCATTACCTTTATCTTCTTCTTTATTTTCAGTCTCTCTATCTTGCTTCTCCGTCGTTATTTCCTCTGACAAGGAAAATTGATGGGGAAGCCAGATTCACTTAACAAACGTGTGACTATCTGAACAACAGCAGTGATTCGCTTAACGACTGTGGCGGAAAAAAAAGTGGTAAAATGGGGCCAGACTCACTTCCCATGTCTCACTTAGCAACATAAATTTTGGGCTCAATTGTGGCCGTAAGTCAAAGAATGCCTGTATTTGGCATAGAAAAAATAATTCAACATAAAGTGCCTCTACAGTGCCTCTTACGTTCTACGGTTACTTAGTTGACCCAGTTTTCCGATTTCACCCAACATGTGGGCTGGTTTATAGTTATACAACATGGCTAAACTC